GGTGTTATTATATTTGTTGTTGTTATTGCTGATGTTGTTGATGATGATGATATCTCTGCTTCTCTCCTTTCTGATCTGTAGCAATAGTTTGTGCAGACAGCCAGGTTTTTTGAATGTTTGTTCCATTGAAATCCATAATTTACTTATTTATTTTGCATGCCACCCATCTCCCTACCAAGACTCTGGGTGTCCTACAATATCATAAATAAAATGATTACAGGATTAAACATCAAAACATTGAGTATTAAAAGTTAAAACATTAAAATGAATATTAAAGTGGCTAAAAAGAAGCAATGCGTAGATGAGGTGGAGGTGGGTCCTTCTACTAATCTACCAGCCACCTCCAGAGTGGGATGCCCCCATTGGGATATCAAACCAGTTGGCAAAGCCAAATGTTCAGGCTTTTTCAGGCATGATATTCCAAAGGGCATGAGAAAAGGCTCTTCTCCTGGATCCTGCAAGCAGTTTCTCAGGTAACCTAGACCCACGGCAAAGAGGGCTTTAAGTTTCCCTGTTCAAAAATCCATGTTCTGCACCATTTGATTTAGTTTGTCAGATTGTATTTCGGCTGCTGGATTTAACTCATATTTGGATTTCTGAAATATATATACACCATTTTTTTCTCTCTAGCGTTTCGGAACTTGGTGGTTGGCACTTGTTGCTATAATTCTCTTTAGATTTTTGTGTGTAGTCCTAGTTTTGTGGCATTGAACATTTCCATAGGCATCAGACTTTGTTTTGAAAATCTATTTACGCCCTGTGATTTTCTTGCCCTTTGGTAGTTCATTTAGAATCCATGTTTTGTGGTGTTGGTGGGGATTTGCAAGGATTTCATTTCTTGTCATGCAGCTTTCCTTTATGCTTGTGCCTTAACTGCTGACAGTCCCTATACTTCTTTCCATGGTTTAGAATAAGGCATATTCCTTGTTGTAGATGGGCAGCAGATTATCTCAGGCAAGATTCTGTTATTAGATCTTTGAGATTTAATTCCAGGTCTGGGTCAGCAATCACTTCTGAATCAGATGCTATTCTTTTCTCTTCAGGTACTCTTTCAGCAATCCCATCTGACCCTCTTCCTCCTCCTCCTCCTCCTCCTTAGATGCTACTGGTAAAACTAAGCTTACATTTGTATTTAAATATTGCAGCTCTCTAGGAATATCCTTTTTTCTTCATTAAAATGAACAAGACTACATTTTTTTGTTTACTTTTTCATTTTTTTAAATCCAAAACCTTGTACCTGTGTGTTTCTATTTGACAGTCCAGGGTTATTTCTAACTGGTTCTTCTTTAGGGATATATGCATTAGCTTTTCATCCAAATAATTTTAGATGTGACATCTTTGAGTTGTTCCCATTCTATAACTCTCATGGATTTTATTTCTACCTTGCATTTGGTAGACGATTTGCAGAGTTGTGTCTGTGTTAAATTTTTCTTCTCCCATCCCCCAATAGTCTGCATCAGCTGACTTCATTATGCTTTGATGCTTTCTTTCTGCAACTATTTTTTTTTTGCTCAGGACTATAACTTAATGCGAGTGTTTTCATGTTTTATGCCTTGTTATGCAAATTTCTCTCTCACTCACACCTTAATATTTTTATTTTTCTGTCAGAGTTGTTTTTTTACACAAGTACATTCTTAGTTTGAATTTCTCAAATAAGTAGTACAGTTTTATTTGTTAAGAGATAGGTGCAAGTATACTTTGAGTGACAGTCTATTAATGTTACCAAGTAGCTTTTACAGCTCTTTTTTTATTGGCATGGGAAAACAAAGGTCAGAAAAAATAAACTCTAAGTGCAGTTTGAATTCAATCCTTAGAAAACTGTTTTTTGTTGGGTTTTTTCATCTTTATAGAAACAACTTACACTTCAATTCTATTTTTTTCTTGTAGGAAAAAATTTCCCACAAATTGTTAAATCCTCATTTATATTCTTATTCAGAGAACATATATATGAACAAACTATTTTCCAGGATTTTTTTAAATTATTATTATGCATGCATCTTGTTTGCTCTAGGTGGCATGAGTTCCAGCAAATTAACTGCATTGTTATTTCCTTTTAATATTAGATATTACATGATAGTCTTTTGCAATGGTGAAAGTCCATTTTTAGCAAACATTTATATGTGATGACACCAGCATGTGGATATCAATCTATTTAAATAATTTCACCTGCTTGGTGGGTCTGTCATTAACTGGCCAGTGTGGTGGATTATGACAGCATCTTTTGTTGGAAAAACAAATCTGTTGTTTAGGTGGTATTTAGATATCAGAGCTAAGAAGAGGGTGCATTGTTATAGTCAGAATATGAAAATATTTGAAAGGAAATGTTATTACGTATGATGGCAATAGTGGTTTTCTTTATGAATGATTGGATTGCAAGTTTAGTAGTAATTATTTTTGAAAAGTGGAAAGTTGTGCTCTTTTGGGGACAAGTTCCTAAGAATTTATTCTCATTACATTTGAGCAAGTGTCCACATACCATTACTAACTTCCTCACTTGAAAGTTGATTTGCTCATTAGAAGTGTCTGATCCTAATTAACAAATAAATGGGATTATAAATTGTTGGTGCATAAAATGTTGTTGCACAAAAGGTTAACAAATTCAGCCATTTTTCCACTTGATAAAAGCAAAATTGGTTCTCTGTCTTCTTTTCTACAATAAGATTTGTAATATATATTAATCATAACATATTAATTACATATCCTGAGCTGCTAGAATCCTGCTCCCTTTCTCCATTCTGAAATTAACCTACTTTCAAACTAATCAAATTCGGCTATTAAAATGTTTAAATATGGGCTTAGGATGAGACTTATTTCAGATATCAAACTGTGCAAACTTCATCTTCTGAAGTGAAAGATAGAGAAATTGTTCAGGGATCTGTACTACCAGATTCTATACTATCAGGATCTGTACTACCAAATTCAAAGTGTTGGTTTTTCATTAGAATTCATTCCTCCTTTTAAATTAGATGGAGTGCAAAGTCTAGTCATGTAACTTGATCTCTCTATGGTATGTAATAGAATTTCTTTCTCTCTTTTTAATAAGTTTTTTTAATGAGTGTCTTGACATGATTAAGAATGCAGCAGATATCTTCAGTTGTTCCTAATCTGTAATCTTCCAACTACCTTCCAATTTCTTCAGTAACCCCAATCCTGGAAGGTCACAAGAACTGATAAAAGCCCCAGAGAATTAGGGTTTTTTTTTCCTTTAGCAATAGGACAGCAATTCACTACTCAATAGCAATGGTAGGCTTTGCTTGAACAGCTGCTCCAAGTTATCCCAAACTTTTGGTTGGTATCAATAACTAAATTCTAAATTTACAATTCTTTTTAGGAATTTTTCTAACCCTTTTGTTATGTTATTTTTTTTTCTTCCTCCTTTCTCTCAGATCATAGTGTAGATGTAATTTTTGGTTTCATGTACTATTTTAACTATTATCATTATCATTACTATCATCCTTTTAATATGTGTTTAATTGTGTTATGACTCGTTAAACAATTAAAGCAATAGTATCCTCCTTTGCATTAATTCATCAACTAAAAAACTCTGAGATATGTACATACTAGGGCTACACACTATTTTGAAATGTTTTTAAACAAATTATTCAGATCTTGAACTTGCAGAGACAAGTATCTTTCTATTGTTCATTAAAACACATTTGCCTTTTTTTAAGGCTTCCACACTCCAGTATCCCAGAAAAATAGTACTGCTCCTTGAATAATTGCTAGAATGTGTTGATTCCATAAAGCAGGAACATTTTTTTCCAGATTTTTACAGAAGTTGCTGAGTTTGTATTTGTGCATGATCCCTGTCACTCTTTCCAGATAATTTTGAAGCATTATTGAAGTATGCATAGGCTCATGAAAAATCAAATGACTTTAAAACAGTAACAAGAGGAACTTATAATACATGAATATTGCTAGCCTTCCAAGACAGGAAGCATGACCAGATAGGCTAATACTATGTTTCCCTGAAAGTAAGACCTACCCCAAAATAAGCCCTACCTTATTTTGGGGGATGGGCCTAATATAAACCCTACCCCAAAAATAAGCCCTAGTTTGGGGGCAAGGCACACACCTAAAAATCAAGCTAGGGCAGGAGTGGGGGTATGGAGTTGCCCCATGTGCCCCGCACCCACTTACCTTGCAGCTAGGCCTCTCCTCACCGGCCTACTTCTTCTGTGGCATCCCCAGGCCTGCATTTCTCAGTCACAGGCCTTTCCAGAAGGCCACTACAGCCGAGAACTGAACTATGGATTCAATCCATAGCTCGGTTCTGCAAGACCTCTGCAGCTGAGAACCGAGCTATGGATTGGCAGGGCTGTTGGTGCTGGAGGTGAGTATAAAAGACCCACACATCCTGAAAATAAGACCTGGTGCTTCTTTTGGAGGCAAATAATACTAAGACCCGGTTTTATTTTCAGGGAAACATGGTAGTACTTTATTGTAAGGCTATCTTAACAGAATCTTGCAAATCTCCTAGGGGTCTCTTTTAAGTCTGAGAAGTTAGGGAGGGTTCTTTCTGAATCTCTTTCTCTGCCCATTATGCAGCTGGAGGCTATGCCCTCTTCTATCTGACCATTCCTTAAGCAGTATTTTCCCAGCCCCATTTCCCAAGGTCTTTCCCACATACCATTAAAACATATTGGTTATTCAGTTGTTAACCAGAAAGTAGGATCTCATTTAATACAAACAATCATGGGGGGAAAAATGAAAAAACGTAGTTAAGAATAGAAACTAAATGTCAGGGTTTATCCCCATAATATTTTTATGCATTCTCTTTTTCTTTGTTTAAAATCAAAACTATATCTGTGTCCTTCTACAAGATATACATTATAGACTTCGCATTGTTCTGTAGTATTTTTTAAATAATAACTATTTAAATACTTCTTATTGAGTATGAATAAGATATTGTAACATTCAGGTTTATCTTTTGCCTTATGAAGTTTGATCATCTTTTAAAAAAAAAAGAATTTCCCACTTGTTCTTTTTATCTATTCCAGTAAGAAGCCATGCATGTGAACTAGACCAGCATGGAAGGCCAGGTAGATGTTCACACATCTGTTTGCTCAGCAGCAGCTATAAAAGCAGGAGTTGTCGCTGCCGGATGGGTTTTGTCTTGGGAAGTGATGGCAGATCATGCAAAAGTATGTTGTCCAACACTTTACCAGAAATTATTTGTGTTCAAAGTAGAATTCTCTATATTCAATAAAAAATAATAATAATTAGCAGTTGCACTAGCTGAATATTAGCTGGGGAATGTGTTCAAAGTATGTTTTTACCATATTAAACCAATCATCTCTTGGGTATGGACTGGACCTTGTAGTTATTTCTTGTTATTCTTGTTTCCTACAGGATAGTATTATCCAATCCTTCCCCAACTTAGTACCCATTTTGGAGTGTTATAGAAATCATGTTGACCCACATCCAATCACAGTGTATTATTTGTATTAAAATATAATCTTCAAAATAAATTTCAGAAATTTCCTTTTCTCGACATTTTGATGTTAGTTGAGTCCTGTCATAAATTTAGCACTTTGCATCCTGATATTTGTGTGAACCCATACAAAAATTACCAAAACGCAAGTTATAGTAGCCAAAATCTTACTTACAATTTTAACTGAATCCAAAGATTTTTTTTAAAAAAGATTTGCATACTTGTTGCTCTGGGTGCTTGTATTTTCATTACTGAAGGTTACAAAGTTGGAATATGCTTAAGAAGCAAGTAATGGAATGTATAAGTAATATTAATACATATTCAGATAGAAAAGTATAATCTATTACTTTGTGTTGTTTTGCTTTAGTTTTTGAATTTAAAAATGAAAATTAAATTGTGTGTGCTGAATTTTACAGTATAATTACATGTTAATAGCAATCAATAGATCCATTTTTATACAAATCAATTTTGCATTGACAATAGTCTGTGTTCTTTTGGATTTTTGAAATATTAATTGGTATAAAAATCAGTGATTAATTAGATGCAGCCCAATCACAGAAATGTCTGTTTTAATTAAATTTAATAAATTTAATTGGTTTAATCATTCTGAGTTCAGATGTCTTCAGAGTATGTGAGACGTTTACTGTAGATGCCAAAGTAAAAAAACAAAACAAAAAAAGTTTTAGCATTAAATAAAGCAACATTGGTATTTAGTGTAAATATATTAGGAGAGATTTGTGATTTAAATTTTTAATCCTTTTTTATAATATAGGACTAAAGAATGAATTGTTCCTGTTTTATGGAAAAGGACGTCCAGGCATCATACAAGGAATGGATCTAAATACCAAAATAGCTGATGAACATATGATCCCTATAGAAAATTTGGTCAATCCTCGAGCTTTGGATTATCATGCTGAAACCAATTACATATACTTTGCAGACACTACCAGTTTCTTGATAGGACGTCAAAAAGTTGATGGCTCCGGCCGTGAAACAATCCTGAAGGATGGTAAGTAATGCATGGAGAGATTTCAGTAGAATATTGGAAAGTGAAATTTTCACTCCAGCATTTTCAAATTAAGCTTGTTTATTTATTTTAAAACTTTGAAAGTTTAAGATTTTGTGACTGCAGGATCATTGTTGCCCAAAATGTTTTGATTATATATTACTGGGTAGCTGGGATTTAAAATAGTCTGTATTTTTAACACATACTACCAATGGAGATAATTTCAGCATATTCTTAGCAGAAAGGATATCTTGGAACTAACCAAAGGAAAGTTAATCAATTATCTAATCATCCTCATCAATTTCAGAAGAAATTTCAACACTCTACGTGGTGCCATCAACATTCCTATTTCTTTCCCAGCTGTGAAATAAAAGCCAGGGGCCAGCAATTCTAAGAGCACGAATGTCAGTTATATCAACAATCAGCATCTGCTCAGGTTCAGTGGCATGAAGCACAGGGCAAAGAAGCTTTTGGAACATGACAAAGACAGGAAGAAGTGAGTTTAAGGAGGAGCTAGCACTTTCAAACAGTTAACTGCTCCACTCTAGTTTATGATAAAGAACTTAATTTAGCATTGTTATGTCAGGTTTCTGTCATATTCAAGCCAATTGACCCCATCTATAGTTGAATCTGGAGATTCATAGCTTAGCCTGAGAAGAGAAAGTGCAGTACCAATGTTTTTTTCTCAATATTTCTGTTTTATTGCACCTTTTATTGCATTTATCATAAAATAATTTCTCAATTTTCGGGGAACTATAACAAAACTATCGTAAAGCAAGGAAAATCAATATTTAACGAAAATTGGAATATTTCTGATTCAATACTGAGTAGCATCAGATTTGATATCTCTAATATCCCTGAGACTTTCTTACATTATTCCCCTCTACAGGGAGACTGGACCCATTTGAGTGGTCCACCCCCAGAGATAGATGTACTTAATTGGATTCCAGGAGGAACTGGGGGATATCTCATAGGATTTGATATTTTGGAAGATTTTCTATTGAAGCCTTAGTAATAGCCTGGAATCAAAAGACTGCTGAGACTATGGACAGGATCCCACCTATGCGACCTCTCTTGACTCTTCGTCCCTGTTGTTCCCCATAGTTCATGGAATACCTGAGGGTTCCGAAACAAGTTAAGAGTTGTCTAGAGCATCACTGGAGAAAGATGAAGGATGAGTCTGACTGGACATGTCTCAGAGCCGCTATTAAGGCATCTCCAGTGGCGAAAAAACCAATGCTTCTCTGTTCTTATTGCATTCTCAGAGTGTTGTTCATTGGCTCTGTTCTGAATCGCCCAATCTCTTCTAGGCCAGGGAGGCTTGGACATTCATTTCCAGAGCCAAGAAGAAGAATTTGTTGAACACCTGTTGGATAAAATTACTTGAATTTGTTCCCAGTTGGAACCTTTGCATGGTGCAGGTCTTTATGAGGTACCTAGGGAGTCATTTTGCCTAATAATTTGGGATCAATTTGACCCTGTCACCCCTAAGGAAGTAGAGAGGGTGCTCTGTGCGGTCAATAAAATAACTACCTTTAGAGCCTTGTCCCTCCTGACTGGTGTAGATCTCCAGGACGGTGACCAGCAGGTGAGTTCATGCAGTGATAAATCCCTCACTGTGAGAGGGGATATTCCTGAGACCTTTCAAGGAGACTTTGGTTTGTCCTCTACTTAAGAAATCATTGCTTGACCCCACCTACCTTGAAAATTTTCACCCAGTTTCCCATCTTCCCTTTTTAGGGAAAATGGTAAAAAAGGTAGTAGCTTGGCAGCTCCAGAGAGTTCTGCATGGAACAGATTTCCTGGATCCTTTTCAATCTGAATTCGGGTCTCCATCACACTTATGGATGATCTCTGGCAAGAGAAAGATGCACTTCGTGCAACCATTCTCATCCTTCTTGACCTCTCAGCGGCCTTCAGTACCATCGACCATGGCATGCTTTCAGGCCAGCTTCATGAGTTGGAGTTGGGCAGCACAGTTTTAAGCTGGTTTAGCTCCTTTCTCCAAGCTCACTCCCAATTGATGTTGATAGGGAATGAAAGATCCAGTCCCCAACTGCCCCTTAACAGTATCCCGCAAGGCTCTGTACTGTCTCCTATTTGATATCTACATGAAGCCGCTGGGTGAGCTCATCTGTCACCTTTAAAACCTATAGGAGTGTTTCCCTGGCTATGATGGAATACTGGAAAAGCAATTATGTACATTGATTGAGGAATATGAAGTTTCAGTATGTAATTAGGTTTTAGCACAATGTTGCATAGTCTATATTACCTTTTTCTTTGAAAGTTCAAAAGCAAAACAACAAGTTAATCAACCATGTTGGAAAGTGGGTTGGTTTTCATTATATATATATATATATATATATATATATATATATATATATATATATATATATATATATATATTGCAGTACCTAAAATGTCACCTTTCATGCCACTCCATAAAAATATAGAAACAAATGAAAATATAAGCTTTTTATTGGAAATGCTTGATGAACGGTTATATATTCTAAAAAGCTGTTGTTCTAATGATCTAGCTCAGGGGTGTCAAACTGCCGGCCTGTGGGCCGGACGCGTCATCCAGAAACCACACCCACCCCATTGCTGGCAATGGAGAAAAAGCTCCAATATGTTGTGCGACATCATGTGACGTCATGAGTTTGACATGTCTGATCTAGCTGATGATCTATACACACACACACAGATACTTATACCCATATATATAATAGTTATTTTTTAGGTAAGCTAAACTGATACAATCAATGTAATTCTTTGCACTAATACATCGAATAAACATAAGCTTTCATTCATTTATGATACATATGTTCTAGCACTGTTATTATTTTATTGCCAGGATATTTTTTATCATGATAAACTACTAAAAGATAATTAATGATTCTCCATTGCTTTTAAATAATCTATACCAGAAAGGTATCTGAACCATTCTTCATGCTGCCTTAAACTCCTGAAAGAAAAGACTAGATAGAAATCAAATAAATGTTGAAAAAATATATATCATAAGGTAGTTTACTACATTGCAATCCACACCATTCCAGAAAATTGTCAGCAGTGCAACTTGATTCCATTGTAAGGAATTCTTCTAGATTCAGCATTACTGTTGCTAAATCATTAGCCCCTTTCATATATTTCTTGCTTCCAAGGTTTGCTCCTTGATTTAGACTGCATACAATAAGTTCAAAATTATTTGTACCTTATAACTGATAACTTTAAATATTAGTATCATGAATATTATGATTATAGTCAGATTAATGATTATGGTCACTATTTGCTTAAGTTTTTATAAAGGAAGTATTAGTGTTATCTTTTTATTTAGGTATTAGCTTTATTTATTTATTTGTATGTTTGCATACATATTCACTTATTTTCCAAAGAACTCAGAATGATTTTATTCCGGAAAAGGAAAGCAAAACCACTAAATGAATTTACATAGCTAAATCCTGCAATGTCCTGCAATCTGCTATACTGGATTTCTGTTTGTTCTACAAAAAAAATAAAAAAATCTGCTTACCATTTTGTGTAGAAGAACCTAATATTTCATACATTCACATGCCCATACATGCACACAAAATTATATATATCATCTTTGTTTACACAGATCTTGATAATGTAGAAGGCATTGCAATAGACTGGATTGGGAATAATTTGTTTTGGACAAATGATGGTTACAGGAAAACAATTAATGTTGCCAGGCTAGAGAAAGCTTCTCAGAACCGCAAAACTCTTCTGGAAGGTGGCATGTCTCACCCTCGAGGAATTGTGGTGGATCCTGTTAACGGGTATGAAAACTTTCTATCTTAAATAACATTTTATCTGTTTGAAAATGCACTAGGAAGATTCACAAGTTATTTACAAAATGTTGGCCAAGATGATTAATATTTGTCATTTGTCTACACAGTCACCAGGTTTGTGTGTTTGTATGTATGTGTGTATGTAATGAAATGAAATAGAATTACATTTGTAGTTATAACTGGACAACCCCTGACCCATTGTGTCATCATTTCATAGATATTTCTATACCTAAACAGAAACAGAATGACCGCAGACATACAAAAAAGCAATGGCAGCAGGAACGACTTCCAACTTCATGTCTGATTCCCCAATGACTTTCTTTGTAGGAAGTCAGAAACCATTGAAGTGATGATCATGTGTCCACGCTAACCATGGCAACATGGCAGCACTGAAGCAACTTTGTCAAATATCAATCATACAGGAGTCATGGGCTTAGATTTTGGATGCATTTTCTTAGTTAAGTCATTTGAGGTTTATTGAAATTGTTGCCTTATGAAGGGCCATTTAAGTTAAATCTTGCTTCTAATTAATAGCAAAGCAAAAAGCTGCACAGAGTTGCCTTGAACTCTGAGGTGGGCAGCATATTAAATTTAATAAATAAAATAAAAAATAACTAAATTGTCTCAAAATAATTTGTAAGAAATCATTTTAACTTCAGTTTCCATGTATTTTTCAGGAGAAAGGTTTAGGAGAGGCCAGCTTATAGTACAGGTAGTCCTCAAGTTAGAACAGGAATTGGGAATGGAATTTCCATCACTAAGTAATCCGGACTTAAAGTGCAACATCATGCGACTTTATTGCTTAGGGATGCCGATCCTTGGACCCACACACACACCCATTGCTGTTGTTAACCAAATTCCAGAAGTTATTAGGTGAGGAACTATCCCAATCCAGGCCATTTTCAAATTGGGCTCTCCCACCATTGTACCTTGGTAATCTAAGGCACTGCCTCCTTTTCAACTCTTCCCAGCTGCTTATCTCTCCACCTCTCTTCCCTTTTGCTGCCTTGCGCACTGCCACCTTAGCTGAATTTGCCATCCAAGAATCTGTTTTATTCTACCAGCCTGCCCGCCTTCTAGCTTCTACATGCTATTTGAGAATAGTGTGGATGACCTCATCGCGGAGCAACCTTGAAACATTAACTTTCACTCCCCCCCCCCAAGTGCTTCCCTTCCCTCTCAGGGTTCATGGCAGACTGGTAACAAAATGATTGCAGAGCGCAGACATGAGGTGGTGGTTCTGATAATAGGGCTTAAGACAGCACTCTTCAGTGGCAGTGGCACTTAGGCTGAATAGAGATCTCAGGGCAATGGCAGCTGGCTAAGACTGCTGAAAGTGCTGGGTCTCTACTTCAGACCCAGCACCACTGCTGAGGGGAGAGATGGGGCAGACAGGTGAGAGGGGAGCTGAAGCACCCCTGTTGTCATCAGTGCAGCAGGCTGCCAAATGCTTGAATTTTGATCATGAGACTGTAGAGCACTTCAACAGCCCTAACTTTGGAGACAAGGCATAATTACCAGTTGTTTAGTACTGCTATAACTTCAAAGAGTCACTGAACGAGTGGCTATAATTCAAGGACTACTTGTAAACCCCTTTAAAAGGCTAAATCAAATCATAGTATACTTTTTAAAATCAACTCCACTATCACCCTTCTTTAATATGCTGCCCACCTCAGAGTTCAAGTCCCATTTCCTTAATAACTTTATTTTCTTGTACCACTCAATTAAAGCAATTAACTGAATATAATACTCATATTAATAACTCTGTCATATTACAAACAATTAAATGCAAAAAAAAAAAAAACAGCTGTGCTTTCTGACTATTCCTCTCCCTACCTTGATAGGACAAGAGGCTTTGGAGTAGCAAAATACCACAACAATCTGTAATAAATTTTCTCAAGGTAAAGTTAGGAAAAGAAAATCTTCCTTGGGGAAATCAAGTAAACCAATTAGTATAACTACATGCAAATAATTATTTTCCCTGTGCAAAATTGTGTGATTATAGTTTTAAAAACCAAGAAATGGTAGATTTCTTGAGCAGTTAGGGTATTTTGCTAATTAGAGTGTTGTTTGCTCTGCTTTGGTTGGAATAAAAGTCAGCTCGAGATATGGCAGAACATTGACTCAGAATAATAACATCAAGATTAAAATATGAAATGTCATAATAAATGCATTTTATAACACTAGCTTTCCCTCTGCTTTCAGAAGTTTCAGTGCCTAGTTTAACATTTGTGCAGTACAGCCAAAACCAAGATATTGAAAGTTTGACCAAATCAAGTTGGAATAAAATATATCACTTTGTTTAACATTAATTATTAGCCTATACATATATGCACACACAGACAGTTCCCCCCTCCCCAAAAAAATATTTGTTTGGAAAAGCTGAGTGAAACGTGGAAGCAATACTAAGCATTATGTCAGATGCAGGAAACTAGGAGCCAAAATTGAATTCAAAACCACAACAAGTTTTTTTTCATGCTACCTCTAAACAAGAATCTGATCTAGTAACAGTCAAGGCAAATTGGCTCCAGAAGAGAGTCAATGGACTTCAAGGGGAGGCTGGACTTAGGTTTCTTTCAGGGGGATTCCAAACTGATGCTGTGTTTGACACCCCACCCACCCACCCCGAGCTCTGCATGGTCATTTCCTAAACATTCAAGACTATTATATTTCTGGGTTTTGCTGCAGAAAAATCCAGGCAGGGCTTCTTACGGATGAGTAGTACATGACTATTGCTTTAGGACCCTCCTCCTATGCATGATCTGTGCAACACCCATCCATCTTTTGCTCCATCTTTTGAATTCAAGGGTTTCACATGCAACCAGCGAACTGTAACCCACTTCTTAGTGTCTCTCATTCTTTTACCTTTGCTTGGCAGCTATCTCCATCCCAAGCTGCTATCAATGGCTTGTATTTTTGTTTTTACTATCTCCCACCCTAAAACACCTTATGTGCAACATGCATGAATTCTGACAGTATCTCAACCAAACATGTTCTCTTCCAGGCATGAGCTCTCCGGTACTGTTGTTAGATATTAGACAATGATTAATATTTATATGTTATTTATGTGTAAGGGTGGAGGTCTATACATATGTTCTATATAGTATGCTTAAATGTGTGTTATGTATGTATACACTTTGAGAGCAAGCAACTAAATTCTATCTATCTATCTATCTATCTATCTATCTATCTATCTATCTATCTATCTATCTATCTATCTATCTACCTACCTACCTACCTACTTACCTACCTACCTACCTATCTACTTACCTACCTACCTACCTACAATTCAAAATTTACTTTCAAAGTTTGGGAAAGGACCAAATTCAGATGGAATTTGTTTGATTATTATTTTTTTAGGATCTTTAAGTCAGTGCTTACTCATGGTGACTGTCTGAAAAAGTCCCTGCAATTTTCTGGCAATATTGTCAAAAGTGGTTTGCCATGAGAAAGTGTGACTGATCCAAAGTCACCCAGCTGTACTTGTGTCCAAGGCAGTACTGGAACTCATGGTGTCCTGGTTTCTAGACCTTTGCCTTATTTATTTGTATCCTGCTTTTATTATTTTGACAAATAACTCAAGAAAATGAACATATCCAGCACAGCTTCCTTCTCCTATTTTCTCCATATTAACAACCCTGTGAGGTGAGTTGTGCTGAGAAAGAGTAACTGGCCAAAGATACCCAGCTGGCTTTCCTGGCTAAGGTGGGACTTGAACTCATAGTCTCCTCGTTTCTAGCCTGGTGCTTTAATCATTAGACCAAACTGGGTCTCTAATTTGCATTTTAGGAATCCTAATTCACTTGCTATTTCTGCTACCCACCACTGTTTTTCCTTTTTTTTATTAAATCCTTCATTTTTTTTATTTAAAATACTTACTGTATATTACTTCTATAAGCTCCATCTTAAAACCAAATTATGTTTGGCATTTGTCTCATGTCCAACTCTGAAATATAACCACTATGGTGTAAAAGTTACAGATAATGGTGATTAAAATAAAATTTAAAAAGAAAAACGATTCAAATACTTTAAATGTAAAACTAGTTCAGTTTTTAAGTTATTACTAAATCTAGGCATGTAGAAGCATATTGCTCCACTGTTTTGTACCATCATTATTGTATTTCTGTTAGATTTTACCAAAATAGGTCTAGGAAACTAGAAGTCCTTTTTATATGACTAGATGGCTATAAATATACTCATATTATAGAATCATCTGTATTATTTTACAGTAGGAAGTGTAACTGCTAAATTACCATTCCATACTGCAAATGAAAATTATTGGAATTTTGCTTATATTTTAATTAATTTCTTGTGCTAAATCATTACCACATAATTTGAGCCTGGTTTGGGATGTGACAGATGTAAACTGCAAAACGCTTAGGACAATGTTTTAAGTAATATCCTTTTAACAAGTCAAATAAATGTTTTCAAGGTCTATTGATTCATTGTACTTTTGGAGAGCGTAAAGACTATATTGATTAGGTTATTTACTTCAGTTCTAGACAGCTGACATATAAATTTCATTAAAGGCAATCTTAAATGAGCCTTGACTGTATCTGAAGTTGTAATTTGTAAAAGGCTCAGTGCAACATCTAATAAATAAAGGATTATCTGCCAGGCAATATTTCCAATAGGTAGAGCCATAGTACCTCTTAAAAATATTTTACTATTGCATTATTATTCATACTTACAAAATGATGTTACAAGAATTTATAAGTGTATGTCCAATCTAATTTAATTTTTGGAGACCTTGGTGGTTTCCGAGCTTAGTTGTTTGCTTGCAGACATTTCATTATCTGACTAAGTAACGTCATCTGTTAATGAGTGTATGTGGTTTGGCCCTTGTTTATATACAGTAGCTTGCCATGTTGGTGGGGATATGGCATTTAATTTTATTTTTTGATAGGTCTGAGTCATATTTCCAGTGTGTTAGAAATGACACCATGATTAGATTACCAAGAAAAATGTTAAAATTGATGTGTTTTTTTTTTTTTGTGTGTGTGAATATCAACTTAGTGAAAGGTGAAGTTTCACATTTACGAAGCTTTGTAGACTGGATTTGGTGTTTTTATCACCTATCCGGTGCTTCCCAAGGACTTGAGATAGGCAGATATGGTTGTTTGTTGGTGTAAAGGTACCATCACAGGATGTTCCAAGTAAAACTGCCTTTTGTATTTGACTGATGGTGATTTTGTCAATACTGATGCTGTTCAAGTGCTGCTCTAGATGTTGGGGATTTGGGATAATAATATTATGTGTGGGTACTCTACAGTTAAGTTCACAATCTAAGAGTGGTAGAAACTTAATTTTAGGTCCCAGTAAGGACCTAAAAATTATTAAAGTAAAGCTGAAGAATATGGGCAGTTCCAAGCAGGGTGGGCTTTTTGTAAAATTAGGGTGTTCAGGTCTGATAAATTCAATATTTCCAGATATTGAGGAAGTACTTTAGACATCGCTCTGATAATCTACTATTATATTATTACTATTATTACTAAGTAATAATTACTATTATTATTATTTTATTCTCAGAAGAGAGAAAACGGAAACCTTAAAAAATATGAAAGAATTTCAGGTTGTTTATGATTAAAATTCTACAACTAAAGTTAAATGGTTCAATTAATGTTTTTTTATTTGTCATTTCACAGCTGGATGTATTGGACAGATTGGGAAGAAGATGAAATAGATGATAGTATGGGAAGAATTGAGAAAGCATGGATGGATGGTAACAACCGTCAAATATTTGTGACATTAAAGATGTTGTGGCCAAATGGATTAACTCTGGATTATCAAAATAATATATTGTACTGGTGTGATGCCTATTATGATCATATTGAAAGAATATTTCTGAATGGAAGTGACCGCAAGGTAAACATAATAATACTTTTTACCCACAGATTCCCTGTTTAGTGAATTATCTTGCCAATTTGTTCATTTTCTCTTTAAGGCTGACTATTGATTATCTTGTGGAAGTACCCAGTCTAAGAACTACTGAGTTATTTTTTGGGGAAAGGAAAGGAAAGGAAAGGAAAGAAAAGGGGGAGGGAGGGAAGGAGGGAGGGAGGAAGGAAGGAACTATTTATTTCAGAAGGTAGAAGTGTTTTCTAATCCTTATTCTACTGTACATGAGACAAAAATTCATGTTAAATCTAATATGAGCCCTTACTAATTATCTTAATATATTTGGCCATAGTAGTACATGATATCATATATCAGCATTTTTAGGAATTTCATTAAAAATTTCTCACATGAATATATACTCATTCAGTAGAGTATAAGGAAGAGGGTCCTGAAAAAGACATTACTAAAGTGCTGATGAAAAAAAAAATAACAACAACCTAGGCCCTTAAGAAGAAGACAATGTGTGGAAGAGGTTTATATAAAGAACTTCCTAATCCACTTGGGTATAAGAAGGAGAAGACATGCGGCACAATCAACCTTGCAAGATTCTGCTATTATAACCATTCTCAGTAAAAGTAGTTTCAAATGCTGACTCCTGGTCTGGTTTATTCAGTAGGGTTGACATGTATGCACAAAGTTACATGTACTATAACAGAAGTACATGTAACTTTGTGGAGAGAGGTTTTTCTGCGGACCGCAGGGGCATGGTTTTGTGTGATGCCTCCATCCCGCAGATGGGGCTTTGCTTGTTTGTGCGTAACGGTTGCTGGCATGCCGTGGCCTGGTTCCGGTCCATGGACCAGGGGTTGGGGACTCCTGTACTATAAGACAATTTATATAAGCATTTTTCATTTTTTTATTATCCATATAGTTTGCAAAATAAAAAGGCAGATTAGAAAAAAATGGTATATGAGAGATCACTTGACTTTTTGTATTGCAAATATATATTGTGCTTTTTCTTGTTTTTATATGGTGGGTAAAGGTATATTTTATTTTATATTGGACCAAATCTCTATCTACACTCATCTTCCTTGCCAAATCATAATATTATACAGGTGTTACAGTTTTATTCAGCCTGGAATTTAACATATGACATTGATGGTGCTATTTTTACACAGTTGAAATATATTTTATGATGTTTATTTTGTATTTAGTCTATTTTTAATTTTATACATTGCATAAATATATTGTGTATAATTGCCAGTGTTACGTAATTTTATCTGTCCAATATGTGTGCATTGAATTTAGATACAGAGAGATCTGTTAGAATGATAGTTGCGATAACTTTTGAAAAAAAATGATTTTACTAGATTGTACCCCAAACCCAACTTCAACATCTGTTATCAGTGCCCCCCTTCTTCTAGAATTAATAATCCAAATAATTAAAACTGGTTTCTAGGGTTATCAATAATGGATAATTAGGTAATCATGTATTTCAAAGTCTACTCAAAGCATCACGTACTATTAATATTTTGTAGGATCTACAGTAGTGTTAGCCATAGAACTCTCTCTCTCTCTCTCTCTCTCTCTCTCTCTCTCTCTCTCTCTCTCTCTCTCTCTCTCTCTCTCCAGAAAAACACACACATACACACAAATACATATGCACACACACCTACAAACACACACACACACACACACTAAACTGTGGACAGGACTACCAGTGATTGAACATTGAAGACAATGGCAGTTTTGATCTAATGCACTTAAAGCCCCAGTTTGTGGAAGGCTAGTGTAAGGGAATTGTCTAAAAAAATAATTTATGAGTTTTCTACATATTGCAGTTTCTTTTTGTTTCATTTCATACAGAAAAAAGCATATCTTTTTCCATTCTTCAGTTAATCTCTGAATGCTATTTATACCCTTGTATGAAATTAGGAATAGCAATGTTTTGTGTCTTTATGGTCAGTTAGTCCATTGAATTTGTACAAATGGTTTTCCAGTACATTTTTCTAAGGTATAACAATGTTGGCCAATACTTGTTAATCTTAGTAATCTATGTCTTTATGGATACTATGTTGATGTGGATTTTTATTAGAAAAATATAAATAGAAAGAATAGAGAGATCATAATATTTAATATTTGAGAGGAATGTATCAGCCTTAGAGATAGATCCATTACATTCTTTTCTAGCAGGATGAAATGGAGGAATATTTTCCCTTCCTCCCAAACCTTTAAAAATCTGACAAATAAAATTAGGAAATAGGTTTATTATCTGAAGATATATTCAATTGGTACTTTGGAGATTGGAGTAAATTTTTTTGGTAAAGAAAACTTTAAATATATTTGCACACATATAAAAATCAAACATTCACATTTTTTTCTTAATTTCTGATTAAATGTTAAGCCATGTAGTGATATACTGAATGCTGAAACAATTTAATGTCAATCAATTGCAGGTGGTCTACAGTGGAAAAGAATTGAATCATCCGTTTGGACTATCACATCATAGAAATTATATTTTCTGGACAGATTATATGAATGGCTCTATTTTCCAACTGGATTTGATGTCTAGAAATGTGACACTTCTGAAAAGTGAGAGATCCCCTCTCTTTGGGTTGCAAATTTATGATCTCCAGAAGCAACAAGGTATTAAAAATAACATTCTCTGTATTCACCCCAAGCAGCACTTAAATAATTGTAGTTATAGAAAGAGTAAATGCTCACTATTGCTTCAGACTTTCTCATCAATCTGCTGTGAACACACTAATCCATTAGATGTGAAATTAATTCTAAGTACTAAGTCAGTGCAGATGTGTAGGGTATATTTAGTGAACGATAATTACCACTTGTCATCACTGAAATAAACATGGGTTAATTTTGAAAAAGATTTTGTGGATCCTTTGATGCAAAAGCATTTTGATACAAAGCATTTCTTAAAGTCATAAAATAGGTATATCTTACACATCTTTTGCTGCTGCTTCTATTGCTTTGAAAATTGCCTCTAGCTGCTCTGCATGGGTGAACTTTTGAGTTAATCCTCAACATCATGTATTACATTGTTTTCAATAGAAATTTCATAAAACTATTTTTATAGAATTTGACCATTAATTAGATGGTTCCGTCCCAGGCGACTGATGGACCCTGAGAGGTTCCTGATGGAGCTTGGGCCATATCCGGAAGATCTAGTCCACGACTCGGCGGAAAATCAGGCGGCGGCCTGGGAGACAACTGCCGCCGCAGCATTGGACCGAGTCGTGCCTTTGCGGCCTCTGACCCGACGTGGATCTCGACCATCTCCTTGGTTTAC